TTAACTTTACTCCAGTTAGGTGGGGGGGGGGGGGGGAGGGATTTTAGCGTAAAATGATCCATTTGACTGTTTTCTGAGTCATTTTGAGAGTAATAGTATAACACTTGATAGTGTTGAGAGTAGCTTAAATAGAATTAAAAATACGTGGATACATTTTTTTAGGTCAATTTTGTTAGGTCATGACATTAATAATGAGGTGGATTTTGAAAATATCACCGATACTTTAACATCATTATAAATGATTTTGTACATGGGGTGGCACCCCTGTCTTCTTGATACAAATTGGTAGATACTTAACACTTTTTATATAAAAAAAAAATCTTAGCTTTACTCCAAATCCTAATCTAAATCTAATTATAATTTTAGAAATCCCAATCGTAGTTTTATTCCAATTTCCCCTCATTTAAATCTATAACTAAATAATTACTATAAACCTTTAAATAATTGTAAATCCTACTAGTTCCTTAAAGAAACCAATTTTCTACTAGACTCAAAACTATTTCCTTTTGCTACTTCCACGGGTCCCACACCCTATTATTTTTTGTATTGTAACAACTGCCCACAACGGTTCCTACTCCGCTTATATTGCGTTTTATGCATTTCTATTTCCTAGGGAATTCTGTAGCAAAGAATAAAAAGTGCAGCAATATATTAATAGAATTCAAAACAGTTAATATATATATTGCAAATAATCATGGTACCGTTCAATTTCCAAGAAACACCTCAAAGCCAAATGCTAAGGGACAGAAAAGATCAAAAGAAGATAAACACTGACTTCACTAGACGACCTCAGGAACATTGTCTAACTAAAACAGAACGGTGGTCTCCAAACCAACATTGAAAGTAACAATTCTGAGATGAGAAGAAGTGGTGAAAGTAACACTGCTGAGATGAGCAGAAGTAGTGAATGGGCCACATGATACAAAATGGAGATAAAAAAATTAACTCCTAAAACATAAAATTTCCAGGTTCAGTGAAAGAAGAGAAAAGAAAGAAAGAATAAATTTCACGAACATCATCTACCTAAAATAGAAAGGAGGTTTCCTAACCAACATGAAAAGTAGTATTTTAGGATGAGAAAAAATGATGAATGTGCCACACAGGAAAAAAAAGGAGACAGAAAATAAACTCCTGATACACACTTTTTGAGTTCAATGGAAGAAAAGAAAAGAAGCTTTCTAAACATCATCTAGCTAAAATAGAAAACGGTTTTCAAACCAACATCGAAAGTAACAATTTTGAGATGAAATTGGTGAATGCACCTCACCCATAGAAAACGGAGATCAGAAACTAAACTCTTGATCCAGTAACTTTTTGTGTTCAATTAAAGAAAAGAGAAGAAGAGGAGATCAGATCTTCAGTAGTTCATAATATTACAAAGACATTTTTACACTGATTAGACCTGTATTAGAGTATACGAAGGTAAATAGTTTTGTAAATAAAAGAGTTGTAATATTATTTCTGTAAAGTTGGGAATTATTTTGTAAATACACATTAGTTCCATGTATAAATACCATCAATTAATGAGAAGAATAAACACTTCTCCCTCATTTTCTCCCACTCAATAGCACGACTCACACTAGATCTCTCTCAATGTTTACTGATTTAGTTGTTTTCTTCATCAACTATGTACATTGATAGATGTTAGATTGTAATATAGTATCAGAGCTCAAAGATTTCTTCCGATCATGTTTTTTTTTTTTGTTGAAACCAAAACCCTAGGTTCGTGATTTTGCAAAGAAATTTCTCCAGCTTCAAGTTCTCACGTCGATAGTCATGGATACAACTACTGCTAGCACAGAGCCGTCAACGTCTGAAGAAACTATAGCGAATCCATTCTATTTGCACCCGAGCGAGAATCCATCGCTTCAGCTGACTTCAACCATTCTCACAGGTAACAATTTTCATTCGTGGTCGAGGTCAATGAGAATAGCCTTGATTACTAAAAATAAGATGAAGTTCGTGGATGGTACAATACTAGTCCCGAGTAAAGACGATCCTATGTACAATACATGGAAGCGGTGTAATATGATTGTTGTTTCTTGGATAATAAAGTTGATTTCTCCATCTATTGCTCAGAACCAAATCAGGATAGATTGTGAGAGAGACTTATGGAAAGACCTCCATGATAGATATTCTCAAGGTGATGCAGTTAGAATAGCTAATCTCCAAGAGGAGATTTCACTGATGAAACAAGGAACCTATTCAGTCACAGAATATTATACACATTTGAAGATAATGTGGGATGAGTTTTCGAACGTGAGGCCTCTGCCTCCTTGTGACAGACCTTCTTGTGACAGTAAAACACAATGTTTGTGTAGTGTTGGAACAACAATTAGAAAATACTATGAGGAGGATAAAACCATTAGGTTTTTGAGAGGACTAAATGAGTTTTTCAGCGTTATAAAGTCACGGATCCTAATTCAAGATCCTTTACCTCCACTGAGTAGGGTATTTGCACTTGCCATAGAGCATCAGAGAAACCTTGACACGGGACTTTCAGAACAGAATTTTGATTCAAATGTTTTACATGTAAACAAGACTTTAGTTCCTCGACAAAATGTCAATCTTCTGGACAGAATGTTAGCAATAATATAAGAGGAAAGAAAAAGTATAATTCTGGAACTGATGGATTCAATAATGGTAAGAGGCTGACATGCACCTATTGTGGTTTCACTAGATATAGAGTAGAGAAGTGTTATAAGAAGCATGAGTATCCACCGGGGTATAAACCTAACCCTTGGAACATTCCAAGTGTGAGTCAAGCTAGCACTCAAATTGGTGAATTAGAATCTGGTGTAGCTAATTCTCATGTAAGAATTAATGCACAGTGCGGTGGTCCAGATGCATTGCCATACTCATTTACAAAAGATCAATATCACAAGATACTATCTCTTATTCAACCGTCAACAGCTCCAAATATTTCAACCATTACTCCTCAAATCAACACCCTCTCTGCTACATCCCAACCTTCCACTGAACCAGGTAACACTACTTTCTCCTCCGTTCCATCTACACTAGTTGACTGGATCATTGATTCTGGAGCTAGCGATCATATAGTGAGCTCGATTGAGCTGCTTACTTTACACATGCTTGTTGAATATACGTTCATTAGATTACCAAATTCATAGATACTTAAAGTCACATACATTGGTACAGTACATATTACACCAAACCTCATCCTTCACAATACTTGCTTTGTTCCCCAGTTTACACTCAATTTGATTTCCATTAGTCAGCTATTAAAACACTCACAATTTTTACTGACATTCATCCGTCATTATTGTGTCATTCAGGATGTTCAGAGCCAGAAGAAGATTGGTTTAGCTAGGGCAAGACATGGGTTGTATCATTTTGAAGTGCTAAAATTCAAGAATATATATAATGTAAATTATGCTGTAAAACCAATCTCTTGTATTGGTTCTGTTGTAAAGTCAATCTCTTGTTCGCTCTGTTGATAAATTGAACCTTCGTTACTGTTCTTCCCTTGTAAACAAAAATAATATGTGGTATTTCCGTCTTGGCCTTTTCCACCAAGACTACAAGTGTTGCATCAGCTGAATAATTCAATAACTCCTTGTTCTTCATTTGTTTGTGATGTATGTCATTTTGCTGAACAAAGAAAACCTTCATTTCTCACAAGTGTTTCTACAAGTTATTGTTATTTCGACTTAATACGTGTTGATATTTGGAGTCCCTTTTCTGTTGCCTCATTCTATGGTCATCATTATTTCTTGACCGTTATTGATGATAAGAGTCGTTATACATGGGTATACCCCATGAAGGCAAAAGGAGAAGCAATTGATAATTAATTTTTTTGTCCATGTTGAAACATAATTTCAAACCAAAATCAAATGTTTGAGATTTGATAATGGCAAGGAATTCAATTTACACGAATTTTATGCTAGTAAGTGCGCTATACATCAATTTTCTTGTCCATATACACCACAATAAAATAGTGTGGTTGAAAGAAAGCACTAGCATATCTTGAATGTGCCGAGATCGTTGCGATTTCAAGCCAATTTACCCATCAAATTCTGGGCAAATTGTGTTTTACATGCGGTATACCTCATCAATCGTATTCCGTCTCCAATCATCAACAATCAAACACCTTATGAACCTTTATTCCATACCATCCCTACATATCATCATCTCAAGGTATTTGGTTGCTTATGTTATGCTTCCACCTTAGACTCCAACCGTTGAAAGTTTGCTTCGCGCGCTATCAAACGTATTTTTCTTAGTTACCCTTCTCATATCAAAGGATATCGAATCTATGATCTTTATTCTCAAAGTTTTTGTATCCAGAAATGTCAATTTTGTTGAACATGTCTTTCCATTCCATTCCATACCTTCCAATGATTCGGATAACTTTGTTCTACCCCATTCTGATAGTTTTACAACAGAGTTGTATAATGATACAAGTAAACATTTTGTACAACAAAATGATACAGACCATGGAAGTTTGTCTGAGTCAATCGCTTCTGGTCCTGTCTCTTCTCCCATTCTTACTTCGCCCTTAAATGCTTCTCTTATATACAATGAATCCACATTTACCACTTGTACACCAGAGGAGCTGACACATCCAGAGACATAACCTGATCTGCCAAAGAGAAAATCAGCTAGGCAAGTAAAGCAACCGGTTTAACTTAAAGACTATCATGTGTATGGTCTGAACTCCGGAATCAATGTATCCTCACCAGATTATATTTCTAATGTCCTATCATATGACCATATTCCACACAAACAACAAGCCTTTATCTTCGCCTTAAGCCAAGATCAGGAACCAAAATCATATAACCAAGCTGTTGTTTCTCTAGGCAATACAGGCTAAGATTAATGCACTTGTAGAAAATCAAACATGGGATTTGGTTACATTGCCTCCGAACAAACAGCCTATTGGATGTAAATAGGTTTTTAAAATCAAGAAGAAGGCTTATGGATCTACTGAACAGTATAAAGCTTGGTTAGTAGCCAAGGGATATACTCAACAGTCTGGTATAAATTATTTTCCTGTTGCTAAGGTCACTACTGTGCGCACTTTGCTAGCTGTGGCTGCAGCTAAAGGATGGCTGTTACACCAGTTGGATATTAATAATGCTTTTCTCCACGGTGATTTGTTTGAGGAGGTTTACATAACTCTTCCACCAGGTTTTAATTCCACTCAACAGAATCAGGTTTGTAAGCTTAGGAAGAGTCTCTATGGGTTGAAGCAGAGAAGTAGACAATGGAATTTCAAGTTAACTGATGTTTTGAAGCAACAAGGCTTCATTCAAGCTCATTCAGATTTTTCTTTGTTTATCATATCTACTGGCTCTTCCTTCATTGCTCTTATTATCTATGTTGATGATGTGATATTAGCTAGTAACAACATGGAAGAAATACAATCTGTCAAAGATTTTCTACATGATCAGTTTAAAATAAAAGATTTGGGGGAGCTCAAATTCTTCTTAGGTCTTGAGGTTGCAAGGTCTGAGGAAGGAATTAATATTTGCCAATACAAATATACCTTGGATTTACTTCAGGATAATGGATGTTTGAACAGTAAACCCACCCCAACTCCTATGGTTCCTTCTGTCCAGTTAGTGAAAGATCATGGCTCACCCAAAGTTGATTCAACTGCATATCAGCAGCTTGTGGGTAAGCTTTTGTATCTTACCACTACACGGCCAGACATGCTTTGCTGTTCAACAGCTTTCTCAATTTCTTGAAGCTCCTACTTAGACACATTTACAAGCTGCTCATCGGATTTTGAGATACTTAAAAGGCATGTCTGGGCAAGGTTTGTTTTATCCTGCACAGAATTCTTTGAAATTGAAAGGTTTTAGCGATTCTGATTGGGCCACTTGTCCCGATTCACGGAAATCTGTTACCAACTTTTGTGTCTTTTTCGGAAATGCTCTTATTTCCTAGAAAACAAAAAAACAATCAACTATATCTCGATCTTCCTCTGAAGTGGAATACAAGGCTCTTGCTGCCATCAGTTGTGAGCTGTAATGGCTCCGTTTTTTGCTTATTGATCTACTTGTGAATCTTCATCCAGTTATAGTTTTTTGCGATAATCTGTCAGCAATAAAAATTGCTGAAAATTAGATTTTTCATGAGCGGATGAAGCATATAGAAATTGATTGTCATCTCGTTCGACAGAAAGTTGCAGAAGGTATCATTTGTTTGTTCTCTGTTTCTTCCTTTCATCAGCTGGCTGACTGTTTCACCAAGCCACTTTCCATTTCAAAGTTTAAAGCACTGGTATCCAAGCTGAGTATACAAAATTTGTATACTCCAGCTTGAGAGATGGGTATTAGAGTATACGAAGGTAAGTAGTTTTGTAAATAAAAGGGTTGTAATATTATTTCTGTAAAGTTGGGTGTTATTTTGTAAATACACATTAGTTCCATGTATAAATACCTTCAATTAATGGGAAGAATAAACACTTTTGTTTTTCTAGATTCTTCTACTCTCTCTTCTTCCTCATTTTCTCCCACTCAATAGCATGACTCATACACTAGATCTGTCTCAATGTTTACTGATCTAGTTGTTTTCTTCATCAACTATGTACATTGATGGATGTTAGATTGTAATAACCTGAATTTATCAAATGAAAAGCCAAGGTACATTTTATATGCATGTTGCAGAGCAAGCAGTAGCTACAAACTTTTGATGATAAAGAATCAAATATTAGAAATAAGAAAATACTTCCCAAGAAAGGCTGGTTGCTTAAGCAAATATGAACAAGATTTGCACATAATGTCATAATAAGCAGAATGATGTTCGTACTTCAAGATCATAAATTACCTTGATCAGTTGTGGTGTGAGGAACAAGAAGACCATTTTTGTTCCCTGTCAACACAAAGCAAATTGTCATTTTGAGCAAAACCGGAAGCATTAGAAAGCTTATAAATTAGATAGGAACGAGAAGAATGCCCACCAGCACATAACCGCCCTATAATTCTAGTGCCTGCAATCGAGGTCTTAACCACAGGAATAACATCTGATAACTCTGCCTCAAAAGTACTAGAAGACACTCATAAAACCGTAATCCATTTAGAAGGATAGGAATAGATACATGGGTGTATAAATTGTGAACAAAAGAATACCTATAGAAATTTTCAGAACCTCCAATCGCAACCAGGCAATATGCATTTGTAAGCTTGGAGAAAACCCCAACTTCACATGAATTCTCAAACTGAAGTCCTGCATCCAGTCAAACTTCATTAAACATAAGCACAGAAAAGTATTCTGAATTAAAATTGACAAATGAAGATCCAGACAAAAATCCTTTACAAATCCAAACAGATATATTTGCATGTATATGTACAATCTGAGCACACACTCATATATGTATATAAGGACATTGATTCCTGTGTGCACGGACATATCAAGGAGAGAAAATATACATACATGCGTATATCAAGAGAGAGATAAAGTGAAAGAGAGTTTGATAAGCTGCTAAGAACGTACTAGTTGCCATGATAAAAAGGAAAATGGCCGAGCAAAAACAAAGACCTGTAGCAACAGAATTTCAATAGGGATCAGGAATTAACAGAACAAATATACCAACCTGAACAGTAACAAATCAAGAATAAATCTCCCAGTTGATATAGAAGTATAAAACACAAGATCCTAGAAAATATTGCAAAAGAAATAAATAAGCCCAAATCTTCAAGCCATATCACAAATTCTGAATAGTCCCGAAAGCCTACAAACACTAATCTATAGAAATATTTCTGGCACCATAAATCCTAGGATCAACAATTAAATTGAAGCGGACCAACCTTACCGCCTGTTGCATCCAAAATCAAAGCAAAATTTTCAACTCACAAGCACTAATTTCATAAATAGATAGTCTCAGTTCTCACAGACAAATTGAAACTTGAAACCATGAAAGGAAAAATTTAACATGTAATTTAAATAAATTTGTAAAGCATCCATCGGGATATTGAAACTCGAAAATCAACTCAACTGGGTTTCAAAAGATGGAGAATCAGTGAATCCGAAGCTAGATACTGATGATGCTGATGAGGGACCGGTGACTACAGAGAACAGCAGCAACTAGCGACGCCTATGGAGGTGAAAGTGAAGCAAAAAGGCTGAAGGGGGGCCGGAGAGGAGCAATTCAGGGATGACAAAGGAGAGAATTTATATTTTAGCGAAAAGGGATGCATGATATTTGTGTATTTTCAAAAAAAATTTGTATTTCATTTATTTAATATTCGGATAAATTTTAATTAATATCTGACAGTAATTAAATAATAATAATATAAAATTTTATATTAATATAAATTAATGATAATTATTTATTTAAATAATAAAATAATATAATTTTAACTTTAATTAAATTATTAATTTATTTTTATTTTATTATATGTAATAATAAATAACATATAATAAAAAAATATAATATATATAAATGTAATTAAATTTATATTTAAATAAATAATTATTATATATTATTATATTAAATTTAAAATTATTTTAAAAAATAAAAAATAAAAAAGTATTTAAAATAATTATTTATCATGAATTAATTTATTAATTAATTTTATTTAAATTTATATTTTTTTATTAATTTTTAACTTCTAAATATATTTTTTTTAACAAAAATATATGGGATATATATGCATATGTACATATCTCATATTTATATTTAATGAGAAACTATTTATATTTTATTACCAAATTACTTAAAAATTAAATAATTATCATATTAAATCAAAACCACTTCAAAATATAAGTAGTAAAAAATATTGTCTACAAACAATTAAAGAAAGACAAAAGAAATTATAAATTTAAAATAAATTAATCAATCCAAAACAATAAATTAGTCCATTAGAATAATAAAATTCATCAATTTTCTTAATTATCTATTAAACATCCAACATAATTTAATAAATGTTTATAAATCCATAATATAGTTTTGCATTTTGACAACATCAATCTCTATTTGAAAATTCGAAAAAAATAATGAATCAAAATCAGCAAAATAACAAGTATAAAATATTCGAACTTGAGATTTAATATTAGTCATTACTTGATAAATGAAGCAAATTGATCATGAAAAAACTACAACGATCAAGAAAGCAAATCATTAAAACTTTAGTCATGTTTGATCTATTTATAAGTAGCATAAAAGCTTTTGTTTGTAAAAGGAAATCTAATTTTATATGAGAAATTTCTTAATATAGTTCTTCTACTAAAACAGACACTTTTGAAATTGTTAATATTTTTTTCACTGAATTTGAAATAATTCGAACTTTAGCCAGATATTCTTCTTCATATACTGTTGTCAAACGTCTCACTTTCTTCTGCATTGAAGACTATTGTATCTCAGGTTCGAGTTCTAAAGTAAGAGTTTCAGGTGTTGGAGCCTCACATGAAGTATTCAGACCATGAAAATTAAAATTACCACTTAAATCTTGAGTAAGTGGTGTCTCACTTGTAGCATTCAGACCATGTTCATCACCACTTATCGTCTTTTATCTTTGAGAGTTTAGGGGTGTCTCACTTGTAAACTCACTAGCTCTATCCCTTCCATACATTTACGACATTTTCTCATAATTTCTCACGCATTTATTTTTCAATTTCGATGCTTCGGATTGAGTCTAAGATTAATAACTATATTAATATTTGAACAGTATAAAATATGGCAAACAATATATGATAAAGTAAAAGATTGACTTTTATTAGTTGCACCCAAACTTCTTCTATTTCGAATCATTCAGCTGTTGGATTCTTGGCAAAACTACTCATTCCATATTTGAAAACATCATAACATATTGAGAATTGACTTTTTAAATTTTTATGTATTGTGTATCCGCTCTTTATCAATGTCCATATCTGGAAATGCATTCCTCAATTCTTTAAGTACACAATCGACGACGTGTGATGTGAATATCCTACCCAATCTATGACCACACAAATGTAGCGCGTAAAAAGAGTCTACTAAGGCGTCATCCACAAAATCTGTCTGCTGGATAGTTTTACTTCCTCTATTTGCATGTCTATTCCTCCTGACCATCTTTTAAAACACATGAAAATACTAAATATAATCATATGCAAAAAAAAATATAATATGATTACAACAAAATAAATTTCAAATTGTAACATTCAATTAAGATATTAAAGTTACACAAATATCATAAGTCATACAAATGTCATACATCATAAATTATACAAATGTTATAAACTCCACAAAATGTAATAAGCCCACATATCAATTGATATTGTATCTCTAATTACTTCACCTTTTCTCATTTCCTCAATATTATCCCTAAAATTACATGTACTTTATTCGTCTGGAGAAACGTTTTAGAGTTCTTCATCAACCTCTAAAAGAAGTTCATCAGTTTAATCTTCTTCGCGTAAATAATTATGCAAAATACAACAAGCAACTATAATGGTATTAATAGTCTTAATCTGATAATGAGGTTCAGTCGAGTTTTGAATAATTGGAGAACATTTCTTTAGAACTCCAAAGACACATTCAATCGCATTATACAAAGAATCATGTCGTAGATTAAATAGCTCATGAGCATTGCGTGGTGAATTCCTAGAGTATTCACTCAAATAGTAACGTTCTCCTCTATATGGTGCAATTAGTCCACCCTGCAACATGAACCCAGCATTTATAAGGTAAAACTTACCTACAAGCAATGAATAAATTAAATTATAATATTTTTTTTCAAAATATACATTAAATATTGAAGTTAAATATATTTTAATTACCTTCAAAAATTACTAGATAATCATCAATTTTGTTTACTCCATCTTTTATTATTCTTGAATCTGATGCGGTCCCCAAGCTGCCAACAGGTTTTGGGTGGAGAAATCTTTTCTCCCGCAAAACTGTGGAACATCTTTTCTAGACACTTTAACACATATATGTTTTCCATTAATCATATCAACACAATCCTGAAATTAATTATTTACTAATTAAGTAAACATACACTTATGTTAAAAGAATTAATTAAACGTATTTAACTTATATATATCTTTAAAAAATGAAAGAATCTAGGATTGTTAGCTATTTCTGGAGGCACTTGTAATATATTTAGCTGACCAATAAATTTATCGGCCATATGTATTATACATCATAGCACATTGTGAAAATTGCGACTTGTCGTCTCTCTAAATCGTCGAAAAATATAAGATATGACCCGATTTCTCTCATTGTGTCATAATAGGTAAAATATCTTAAGTACTTGTTTTTTTACAGTTACACGAATGGTATGTCTAAGTTCACCATCTATAACTAGTAAATGACATAAATTCATAAAAACTGAAGCTCTCATCCTAATTATATGCCGATAAAACTTACTAAATATCAAATTTTCAATAAGCTTATCTCGAGCTTTCTTTCCCTCTAATATTATTTCATGAGTAAGCTTATAACTTATCTTGCACCTTCTATGAACTACTAGCCCATGAACTATGATAAACTGGCATACTAAAATAACTACAAGTCTCAAAATATTAATTCTTTTACCTAATGTGTGATCAGAAATGATACCAAATACATAGAACAAAACTAAACAATGAGTAGAATATTATACAGCAAAAACATGCAATCATTTTATATGAAAACAATTCATCAATGAAATGCATTAATATGTAGAATATTGTATAATAAAAACATGAAGAAAAAAGATTTATAAGAGGCTAAGAACCAACGACATAAATATCAAAGGTACAACTTTACTACACCCAGTTAGCTTTCTAGAAATGACACAGGCAAATATAATTAAACCAAGACTTCAAAAGGCATCAAACTGGTACATGTTACCTAGCGTCAATATATAAAAAAAAATTGGAAAAGACTATAATCTATAAGTCTACGAAGCCTTAAACCCTACCATTACTTTAACCTCCACATATACTATAATCAGCTTAAAGAATCCACCATCCTCCCAATAAAACAAAACATGGTAAAATAACAGAGTCACTGCTCCACTATTTTTTTTGAAATAAAAGTAAGACAATATTATTAACAAGGTACCAAATAAGTATACCTATATACAAGTAATTACAAGCCAATCCAAATATTAAAGATAGCTCTAAAATCCTTGAGCTCTCTAATATCATAACCCAAAAACATAGAACCAAAGACTAATAGTAATAAACTCTTTCTCAATACCCTCAAATGCTCCCAAGTTTCTTTCCTTCTAAACCACCCAAAAATAGAAAGTGGAATTAACCGTAACAATTTGTTCTTTTTACACACCTCATCCCAAGCCCATAACTCCTCCCTCACACTCCCAGCCACCACCCAGTTTAACCCCAATAATTTATAAACCATAAACCAAATGTCAGAGGCAGTAGGGCACCACAGCAAAATATGATTACAAATCTCCTCCTATTTTTTGCACAAGAAGCATCTATTAGTCAGAATGTTCCCCCTCCTTCTAAGCATATTAACAATTAAAATACATTTCCTGATAGCTTCCCATGGAAAAAAAACCACTCTAGGTGGAGTAATGGCACCAAAATGATAAGTCCTTTCAATCTATAAGTTATGACACCTCAAATCTTATCATTACCTTATCCGTCACAGATACACCTAGCAGTTTAAAGAAATTATCATCCACCCAACAAAACATGGTAAAAGAACTAAGTGAAAACCTATAAACTACAAGATGATAAACAAAAAATTCAGAGCTTCCAGAACACAATATATATCATATTCTACAATATATAAAAACAAGCACATCTAAGAAATTAATGAAGAAGGTGAACAAATAATGCCAGCGAAGTAAACTTAACCCAGAAAGATTATGTAACACCCAAATAAAAATTAAAATTTTATTTATTTATTTTTATTTTTAATTATTTATTTGATTTTTAATTTAATTTAATTTAATTTAATAAAAATAAAAATAATAATAATGATAAAATTGGGTAAATATATTATTTAGATTTAATTGAAATTTATTTTGAAAAAAATGGGTCGAAATTTGGATTCTGATGGTATTTTTGAAAAGAAAATCGGAAACTGGGGGTCAAAACGTAATTTAGAAAAGTTGCACCACGTCAGCAGCCACATCAGCAGCCCGGTCAGCAGCCCCGGCCAACCAGAACGCGCCGCGTGGCAAGGCAAACGCTGACTAGGGAACGGGTCACGTGGGCGATCCGCGTGCGCGCGATCGGACGGCATAGATTCGTTCCCGCACA